GATAACTGAATCAGCAGCTAACAGTTAACCAGTTAATCATCAGAGTGACTACATATCTTCTTCAACTTGATCCCTGAGTATATTGATCGCTGAAGGTCAAATGTTTCGCCTTGCTCCCATAAAGGGAACAAGCCGAAACATTAACCTGCATCGACATCCTTTGGAGAAGGTAATAGCAGATTTTTAGTATAAACTATCTATAAACTGAGCTTTAGAAAAATGCTCTCTCAAGTCTTATTATTGTGTGACAAGACGGTATGTAACGTGTGCTGGATATGGTTTACTCGACACTGATTGGAAAGATTTATTTCCTGTGTGCGTGTGTACATGTGTGTGGCTGGTAAGAGAGTAATTCATTTGGCGACCTTAAAATGATTAATTACCTCCAAATAGAACGCAAAAAACAAACAAAAGGATTGTGGAGAGAGCTGTAACCAACTGATCGAGTTTATTCACAAGAAACTGAGACACGCTGAAAACCGTGCTCATACAAGAGAGGGAGAAGCAGTAAAAAACTGCATTAAAAAAAAAAAAAAAAGAAATAAATAAAAAACCTGAGAATAAACGAATAAAATGTTAGGCGCTCTGACTAAACTGGTTAGCGTCAACTGGTGCCATATTCACAAGGAATGATATATAAAGATCAGGTTATCCCAATGGGAATTAATACAATGCAACCTAATTTAACACCTAAAATAAAAGCGAAAAGCGCTTCATCGTGCTTTCAGTTCTGGCTAAACATATCAAAAGAGCAAATACACTTTTCACCAAAAAGATTAACTATAACTTAATCACAACAGTTATATGAGTAATGATAAACTTGCAAAGGTTCTCCTGCATGCCTAAATGTCTAATCCAAAGTTTTTCATTGAAAATGCTGTTGACTACCACAATACAAACAATACCTCTTAAGACAAAGAGCTAAAAGGCAGGTAAACAAATAAACAAACAAACAAACAAACAAACAAACAAATATACTCCTACAACAATGCACAGCAGGTAATTACTTAAAACGTTTTGCCAAAGTACTTGATTAGATATCCGTGGAAATATTTATTACTCAAGGTTGTTAAAAGTTGTACCTCTTGTGGATTGCCAGTACTGCAGACGTGAGGAGGAGGGCGACGACCGGGATACTGTATGTAAAGGCCTTTCTTCTGAGCCCCTGACATGAACAATTGGCAAACATAACATCAGTTTAAGACAATGGATCAAGGATGAAATTCAAAGAAGAAATGGCTTCAACCTTTTTTGACAATTGAAGCAGCCCTATTGTTTCCTATTGCTTCCAGTCCCTCTAGCAGATCTTGCAATGTTTTTTCTCGGAAGGCCAGATCATCTAACAAAGCTTTGGCTGGACGGGTACAGCTCTCGATCATAGCCACATCATCTTCAGAATACACTGAGCCAAACCATTTCGTCATGAGCACCTTCCAGTTTAAGGTTGGTACTCTTTCGAGGGTGCTGTAGAGTTTTTCGAGTGATCCTTGAGATAATTCGCTTATTGACATCATAGTTTGCACGCTAAAATGAAACCCGTAATAACCGGTATTAGTTCTCTGTGGTTCTCTACAAACGTTCGATTCTAAAAAGACGAACGTCACAAAAGGTTTACGTCAGTGCCACCCACTCCCTAAGCCCGCAGTTTATGCGTCATACAGTTTTCCGCCTTTAATCAAATCATGTTTTAAGTCTGTGCACTGCTAGCTGCCTTAACCTGAAAAAACTGAAAATGTACATTTATTCAAAGAAAACGCGCATTTTTTATTTCCAACCAGAACATAGTCTGCTCTGCAGGTTCTTCTATAGGGTGCACGCAGAGAATCGGAACTCTTTAAAAATGTTCAGTTTAAAAGCAATCTAATGCAGTGAAACACATGTACGTATGTACTTCCTTGTTCTGTAGTATTGAATCCAAAACAAAGTCACAGAACTAAAACGTAACAGAGATAGGGATTGTGATGGTAATTAGAAATGTCGTATCCAGTCAATGTGGGTTTGGTAAGCTAAGCAGCATTTGATTGAGGCATGCAGAGCGAGTGAAGTAAACGGAAGGGGTGAAAAGGTGGTGTTGGGGGCATTAAATTATTTACACCTCATGAGGGAGACTGTACTGTTTTGGCTGTGGTTTAGTCAAATGTCAGGTCATTGACAAGGACCATTTGTGTCCTCTTTAGTATGGAATAGAATTAAGTATGAGGAGACATATGTCGAAGCCAGTGAATGCTTAATTCTAGTTTAAATTCTAAAAAATCTTGAACGAGTAGGAAAAAGTAATGGTCTAAAATATAGGCTACCGATTTTAAGAGAAAGGGTCATTTTGTCTGACAAATTATCTCACAATTGCAGATAGTGTCACCAGGCTTGACTTTAAATTCGAGAGAAACCTTTAAACCCTTTAAAATTGTATATCGAAGTGCAGCTATTTTGAAAGGTTGTCTCTCATAAGCGCAGAAATGTACGCGATAATAAAGACTGGTATTATGGGTAGCGGTTGAAGTTCATTGTGTTTCAGCAATAAGGTGAAGCATGAATACACGTGTTCGAGCTGTTTCCTTTTATCACGCTGAAACCCCTTTGGCCACCATCACCCACAATACCTTTCCACATTGTCGCGTTTCACAAAACAGCTGTGTATAGCTCGTGCCTGGCGCGTGATTCTGTTTCTTATAGCCAATGGCGTGTCTCGTCTTGGGCGTAGGGACTTTCCCTAAATGATGAAAACAGATAACTCAGCACTTATATGCATTAAAAAAAAAAAAAAAAAAGACAAAACAAAACAAAAAAACATCAACAACCGATATCGAAAGTGAAAACAGCCAGCTCAACACATTTTAAAAACTTCAGCTGTCATCAAAAATATATATCAAACTGGGTCAAATAACTCCAATCCTTTTTTCACTGAACATAATTGTTAGCTTTTACGAATGGTTTATTTAGCTCATCTGTAAAAATTCAGTTTCCATCCCACTGACTGTAGCCTAGTTTCATGCTGTAACCATATCTCTGACTGAGAGTCGGGGTTTTTCCCTTTTCAAATTTGCATCCACAATGACATTTTTTCTGCCACGGTTGCAAATATGCCTCGGCACGTTCCGAACCCCAAATAAAAATTTAAGAGATATTTTCACGAGCAGCACTTTACACCATTGAGCCTCGTATGAAACCGGATCCAGATACTTTTCAGAACATTTGATCTGCAAAGACTTAGAAGTGTAAATGGAATCATATTTGCAATGAATGTAGTACGTGTTCAATGTATATTGTACGAAATTCTTACCTCGGCAATCTTAGAATGTCTAGAATTAATTCACCAGTCTGTAGTTTCTGCTCTTGGTGGGTCTCTGAAATAAAATAGACACAGAAATGTCAGAAGACTCTCCTGTAAGGGTTAAAGGAGTCTCGGTGTTTACTGTAGCAAAATGACACACAACTCGTGCAGGAAATGTTCTACAAAGGCGAAGGTTTACGACAATCATCCTTACCGGAGCCAATCCTCTTTCGGAAAAAAAATGATACTCATCACAACGATTCGTAGTTTTGTAGCTAATAAAACGTAGCCTGTGTGAGAGCCGCACTACCCGAGAATAAAAAACGGGACAGAGCGGCTCAGCCCGGTTTTGTCCTTCGGGCTGTAACACGGGTTAAGAAAACGTTCAAAGTAATCGATGGATTCAAAAGCGAAGATTACGTTAGAATTCGACCTAATATGAACTCACTAGGATCAATCAGAGAATATTAAGCCAACCAAGGACCTGAAAGAAATTAACTCTCTATAATAAAATAAATAACCACCCTTTGGTCTTTGACTGCAATCAGAAACATAGAAGCACAGAAAAATATAGCATACCTTTGGTCTCTTCTGCTTGTAGTGCATCGGACGACGTCCAGTGCGTTGTGGAGTTGTTCGGTAGTGAAGCTGTCAAAATATAGCAAGGGGCTCGAAGGGGTTTTTCCCTTTTATTACGTCAGAAGTATTGATTACTGCGTGGGTTGCCACGCTAAGGCAAGTTGTTATATCTTTACTCGTGACAACTTGAATAAAATGAATCTGCAGCAAACAGGGATGTCCATACTTGAACTTCGGTAGTATTTTTTGTTTAGAAGGCTTTTTCTGGTGGGCTTATTTTCCGTAAAAATTCCTCCCACTGACTGTAGCCAAAAGAGATCATCGAACCGTATCTCTGACTGCGAGTCGGGGTTTTTCCCTTTTCAAATTTGCACTCACAATCACATTTTTCTGCAAATGTGCCTCGGCCTCAGGCTACCCGGCACGTTCCCGGTCACCCCAAAACGCAGACCATGCAGACCGTGAGACCGTGAAGACTGAGTGAGTAATTTTTTTCTTATTTTTGTTTTTGAAATTTACTTTTGACTCGCATATTTTTGGGTTCTGGTCACAAATTAGTCAGATTAGTGTTTAACAAGAAGATCTTTTAGATCTTATAACCGCGCTTCTAGAATTTAACTGTTTTCTTAGCACTGCCGTCGCAACGCAGGGCACATTCCAAATATCCATTTATTACTGTAGACATCACATCACTTGATCAACACAAACTCTATTATTGCACCATCAGTTGTAGCCGATGTGAAATCTCCGATGACGTAATGGTCTTAATCTGGAACTTTCTCCGGAATATGTCTGGGCATGAATGATGCGAACGATGCGATAATAACACTACATATTAAGAACAGCTTTCTTACTTAAAAGTCACGATTAAATTTAATTTAAATTCAATTAATTGTTTCCATGAGAAGTCACACGAGTCACATAATTCAAGAAACATTATCCACGGCTATCTTTAGTACGGTGGTTATTTCCCTACCAATGAGGTAATCCTTGCATCTTCTGACACTTTCTTTGCTTGGTTTTCAAATATTTAATTTTCCTTCCGATCTATGAACTCGCTTTAATAAAACAGCACGACAATTCACTTCTCTAGTCTAAAAATACGAAAAATACTCGGAAAACTAAAAAGACTGTCTCTCCTGGCATAATAAACGTGCAAGTAAACACGATCTATTAGGGGTTGACACATTATGCTCCTAAAATCGAGCATTATGCTTTTTGGCACTGCCTCCAAAACGGACTATTATGCTCCAAATTATGCTCGACTGTAACTATTGTAATCGTAATTATGCCGCAAAATTTTTTTCCCGGACCCCGGTGTGTTATAATTATGCCGTAAAAAATTTTTTCCCGGACCCCGGTGAGTCATAATTGTGCCGTACAAATTTTTTCCGGGACCCCCGTGAAGTGCGATAATAGTAATGGAAACCATGTAGAACATTAAAATAGCTTGAAATTTTGTAGTTTTAACTTAATAAATGGACAATAGTAGCTCTAAAAAAGGAAATAACTGTTATGTTGCAAAATGCCACTATTATGCCGCCAAAAAAGTACTATTATGCCGGCAAAATGCACTATTATGCCGGCATTATGCTCGATGCTCCACATATAGTATTATGCTCGAAATTATGCCGGCATAACGTGTCAACCCCTACGATCTATTTGTCACGTAGCGAAAGTGAAAGATGCAATGTCAGGGCATTCCATGGCTGACGTAATACCTTTTTGCCAACGAGACTGGCGAACGAAAACGCGAGCCTGTCGAGGCGGCAGGATATAGAGCCGTGCGTAGTTTGATGACTATGCAGAAAAAATCTCAGATCTTTCAGCTCGATTTTCGCGTAATCTGGTTAAGTCAGTGATATTTTTTTGGCCATATTGGGATGTAGCCGGATGTTGTCGATATATCGCACGAACCAATCAGAACACTATTTTTCTTTGTGACGTGGAAGCTTCGATATCTGTTCAGCTCTCCTGCGTGCGGAACCTCGTTGGGCGATTATTTTGCCTACCATTCTGCTTTTTGAGGCGTATACATTTTGCCTTTGTTGTGATTGAATCGTACGATTGTTAAAGCTGAACAAGACCCAAGTAGTTTTCTGGAATGAATTCGAGTGTTGTTTATTTTATTCAGAGTTACGCTCAGGATTTGTTCGCCATCCGTTCGACGAATTATTTCGGTAAGTAGTTTGTCTGACATTCTGCTTTTCGCTGTGGCTACATGTCCAGCAGCCGGACAGGTCTTTTTAAAATGCTCTGTGTCCGGCAGTGAGACTGTTTTTTTGAAAAGTAAAACAACGTAAAAAGAACTTTATGACAGGCGGCCCCAAGAGGAATCGAACCCAGGTCACCGGCATGGCAAGCGATACCCATTACCACTGCGCCACGGCAACCGGCCGGCGCCCTTCCGGATTCGGACACGGATTATTTTGAAAAACCTGTCCGGCTGCCGGACAGAGAGACACAGCGTCTGCTTTTTAAAGGTGAATGTAAATTAAAATAAGTTAGTAAAGGATCAATGAAGTGCATGTAACTTCGATTTAACGCGTTTTCACGGAGGCGAAAGTGTTGAGCAGAGAACNTCTTGTGTTAAAAATGCGTAAAAGTTGCCATTATTTTGTTAACAAAATGGTACATGTCAGAGAAAACTGAAGCTGAGGCAGCAGTTCTTGTAGTTTCTATCTGGTGCTTTACACTGACGTCAACATACCATTTCTGGAAGCCCCCTGTAGACCTGCTAAACCAGCGCTTGTCTGTCGAGCCTTGACTCTCGAAGCAGCTACCTGTAAAACAAAGAACATTCCTACTTCACGCATCTTGCACTTGGAAGTAGCAAATTCAGCCAGCTATCACAACAAACACACCGGGAGTAGAGCCACGTGCAACTACCAACTATCTTGATTACCAATCAAGCGTACCGTGAATTACAGCAAAGTAACCTGGAAACTGTACAGACTGAAACATTCCAGTACTCTCAACTTCGAAAGGTTGGCCGGTTAACTATTAGCGTGTTTTAAGACATAGCGACTGAAAAGTTCAGGTATAACCATTAGATGGCGAACGGATTTCATCTCGAACCAGTTAACAAAACGCTAAGTAAATCAGTCTGAGACAAACAGCTCCAATTTTACGCCTTCTTAGAAAGACCTGAGAATACACATTGCCTTGATTGTGGACTATAGTGAGAACATGTTTCTTAGTTCCACTCACCAGTTGCACTGTACTTGCTGTAATTTCATTGGAAGCCACGACGATTTCTTCGAACTTGCCTTGTCCCTGGACAACTTTATCAGCCGAGTCACTGCAGTGAAAATCACAACGCTTATTGTAATACCATACTTCAGAGCAGTGAAAGAGTAGTGCGTGGTACATGCTAGTTCAGTACAGTTCTTTTTTGGTAAACAGGTTTTGAAGTTCTGATCGTAAAAGACGAAGCTAAAGGTGTACAAAAACTGTCACATTTCTCACGCTCTCATTGCCAGGATCGATTAGAGGAAAAAAACTCTGCAGTGTCAAGATTAGTTCTGAAAGTTTTCATGAAGTAATTTCGATGGTTGGTAGGAGTACAAACCAAATTCCCAATAGAAAGGAAGCAGATTAAAAGACAGGTTCATGTTTGAAGCACTCGAGATTAGCAGATTACTATAGCAGGAAAAGATCCGTTCTCACGGAAACGGGCTCCAATCCATGATCCCACGGAGTAACATCCAACAGTGAACCAATCACAATGAACTCTTTTTGACCAATCAGATGCAAGATCAAGCCAACACACAGCCTATAGAACATCACTCTGCAGGAGAATACAGTGCTCCCCAGCCACAACCCTGAAGACAATTAATTTTACTTACACAAGCACCTTGGCTCCCCAACCAACAGCCTTAGCAGCTGAAATCAGACCCTCTGTCCAGCGATGATGACGCTTGTAGAATTCTTTCGCAGTAGCTGAGCCCTGAAAAACAAAGCACAACACTGAGCACAAGGTCGAGTGAAAAAACATCGCACAAGCAAGGAAAGAGAAGAATCATTTTCACCCAACCATGGCCAATGTAAAATTGTTTTTACAACGTGTTGTAAGGCAATAGTAGCATTACTGTTTACGCTGAGCATAGTTGCAATCAATAGTGTCATAATGTTCTTTCCTTCTTCTCTTTTTTTTTCAAGCTTCACGCTTTAAGCATTCAATAAATTGAAATAAAGGTCACGTATGTATACCGTAAAATCCCACTTTAAGCCCTGGGCTTATATAACTTCATAAGGGGTTTTGGGTGGGCTTATATAAACGAGGGAGGGAGGCTTGTATCCGGGGGGACATATAAGCGGAATAAAAACATGTTTCGGAACGACGAGATAAAACGTATCTGAGAAACGAATTAAAGCTAAGATGGGCTTATATCCGGAATAATACCTTTGTTAGCTTATATCCGGGGTAGCTTATAACCAGGGGTGCTTTAACGTGGGATCTTACGGTATAAAAGTTTGGAGGCAAGAAAAATCCAACAGCTTGTACGACTCAGTCTTATACGACATCTTCACTAATGAGGATTTATCCTTTGTTTGTTTTAAATGTTATTTTTATTCCCAATAGTTCAATGGGTAAATCTCAGTTGCACTTTTATCATATAAACTCCAGAGTACGGACTCCTGTTGTATGGACAGTTCAGCTGATCAAATTGACACTAAAACTCACATAACTCTTCCTCTGCGAGAGCTTGGTTTAAATTGGAAAGATCGAGGTTCAGCTGTACCTGGCCGAGACAAAAAGGCGCACAAATCAACCTGTGTTTACAATTTTAATGCCGTTACCTTGCCTTCGTGGACAATTTCCTTTTGCAATACTTTAGACTTCATTATCAACACCTTGATTGCCTGGAAATGTACAACACGCAGGTTTAGTGCACAAGAAAATACACCATGAACAGGTAAATAGTTTAGAGAAAACCTGCCCGCGTGCTAGCGAAAGTTAATTCAAGGCCCAGCTAAACGTACACAACATTTCAACACAACAAACTGTAACATTGCTGCGCACGTTTGGCGACAAGGTGGCCAAATGACTGCAACATGTTTTGCGCAACATTGTTACAACATGTCGCACTGAAATATAACGTGTGTTAGGCTGGGCCTTAAAACAATAGATAACCTCTGCCCCCCACCCCGTAGGTCTTAAACAGGGAATTCGGTGAATGTCAAGCTTATATTATTGAGAAAGATACAAAACATTAGCTGCAATTGTTCAACGCCCAATTAAGCTAACCCATGATTAGCAAGAATTTTGATTTCAGTTTTGTAACGGCTTTTCGGTGAGGTTTTTTGCTTATATTATTTGCCCTTCAGCTCTGAACTTGAATTATCTCACACAACACAAAACACAAGCAGTGAACAACATTTTTATACAAGAAAAATTAACACAGCCAGAGCCTCTCAAATAATTCTTATAGTTGTTAATCTTACAAAATTAATAGTCGTGTATTACAACTGTTTTAAATCCATTAGATTAATTAAAGTTCTTCATAATTTGGGCAAATTACCTCCATTAGTGCTGTGCAGGAATCCAGAATTCTGTACATAAACGAAATCAAACGAATGAACATAAAGTTATGAACAAAACATAAAATCGCCTTTAGCTTAGGTGCCCCATAGCAAGTTTGCATTTTGTCTTCATTTGTAGTTTTAAGCTTACACAATCTCCATCACAGAATGTACGTGTTCCTCTCACCTTCCGTTCACTTCAAGTTGGACACCACTGAATTTCTCTCTTGTTTTGTTAAGCATTTCCTAACATAAATTAACAAACACAAATTTCAACTTTTGTTTATTAAAAGAAGCAAACCAATAGACCATTTTCCAGTTCTATGAAATGTAACCAAGCCTGTGTATGAAAGCGAGGTTTGGCTTGACCTTGTGATGATTGAGATTAGACCCAAGTTAGCATGATAACAGGATAGTTTATATTTGAAGTCACAAGGCTTGTATGACAACTGCGGCCTTGCCTCTGCTCAAAGGCCCAATCACTAACCACGGAATTGTAAAATGGGTTATGAACAACAAGAAAAATAAAATAAGGGCACAGGACAAGAGCACAGTTGAGGAAACGACAATTTGTATTGCTAATATATACCAAATGAAATCGGATGAGTTCGAGCGCTGATTTGAAAAAAAAGGCGAGTGACACAAGGAAAGACCATAAAATGCACTTGTTAACTGACAACATGACCATCCACGAGTGAAAATCAAAAGTGTTTTAATCAGTTATGGATTACAGCCACGTGTACAGCTGTGCGGGTACCTAAATAACTCATTTGTTTTTTAGCTGTAACCCACATACAAGAACCTGCTTAATCTTGCTTGTTTAAACAGGTTCTTATATTTTTGGGTATTAAAACCAGCAACTATGTTCTTACACGCTGGTTTTTACTGTATTTTACTAAACACAATGGCTCCCAGTAAGCAAGAAATATGATCTCTGCTGTGGCACCCTGTTTCAGGCTTAATCAGCTCCTGGAGGTAGTAAGCGATCCCAGTGAACCTTGCAAAGGAGGCTCAAAGGTACAGAAGCTACACTTTAATGTCACGTGTAGCAAAATAACCAACGACATTGCCGTATTCTTACACCATGATCGCAGCAATAGTGTCTCCATTCCCTTAGCGCGCGTCTCGAGGTTGGCTCGATTACCAGCCGCTGTTTCGGGAAATGAGCCCACGGGGAGGAATGCGGCCGGACCCGAGAGTGCGGCGGAAATCGAGCCAAGTCTCAAGGCTGCCCCGAGGGCAAATCCTTCACTAGAACCACCAAACATGACATGTGTCCTTGCGCCATAGACAAAGACTAATCCTTGCAGAATACGCAAAGTACAAAGCGAGCAGTCACTCTTTTCTTCGAAAATCCGTGGGGAGGAATGGAAAACAACTAAGCGTGTGAGCGTGATTGTGCGCGTGACGTGCGAGTGGTGACCGGTGATGCCGCGAGGCGCCAGTAGCGCGGACGTCGGAAGACGCCTGCGCTATTAGCGGCTCGCGGCATCATCGCTTGCACGTCACGCTCAGTCACGCTCACACGCTTACTTGTTTTGAGTTCTCCCCACGGATTTTCGACGAAAAGAGAGACTGCTCGCAGTCTATACGCAAAGCGGCTCACTTAAGAATTACCACGAAAATGATTAAAGTTAACAGACAAACATTGAATAGACAAAAAAACGTTGCACTTTAATTTTCCACCAGCAGTTCACATGTACGAGTCATTTTAAATATGCATCATCACTAATTCGAAGAATACGAAGTTACCTAATATTCAATATATTCTTGTGCTTTCAATAAAAGTGATTATACCTACCTAATATTTTTACATGTCTAACCAGCAAACCTAACGTTGAATTCTTAAAATAAAGGCAAATTGTCCTAAAATCAATTGTTTTGGACATGATCCATCTTCTTACAACCGTAGAGTTCCGAATAAAAAAAGTACAAACACGTTTTAGTATAGGATATACAAATGTGTTTTTCCACAGTTTAAGAGCGGCTCGTGTCTAGATCTTGATTTGTGGAAAATCAACGTTTTTACGAATGAATAACGAAAAACTCACTGGGGCTATCTTTCCTAACGTATACATCTCGCATTCAGTTAATCATGCCGGCACCTGATTCTATCGATGTAGTAAGAAGTTGTAAAACTTAAAACAGTTTTCATGGCTGTGGCAAGCAAGTTGCTACACAGCCATACAAATACACCGTGTAATGGTCAGTCTTCTCCTGTTACTTAATGGCATAGTCGCTGCCCATAAATAGGTTTTATAAGTTTGTCAAACTGGATTTAATTTTCGAGAGAGTAGTACTTATAAAGTGATGCTAACGAAAGCAAAGATAGGTTCGATTTCCGCCGCTCTCTCGGGTCCGGTCTTCGTTCATCCCCGAGAAGAGTTCCGGGGGGAGAAGCGCGGGCTCCTTTCCCAAACAGCGACTGGTAATCGAGTCTAAGTCAAAGATGGCCCTAAAGTATCTTTTAGGTGTTTCGGCAGTTTCACTTTCGGAGAATTTTAAACCTCAGGAGCAGTTTTTACGCATAAAAACGTTAATTGTCAAAACGCACTCATAACGAAGCAGCAATTCTATACTTAAATACTACTAATGCACGATGCGATTTAATTGCGACGAATTGTTATGGTTAACTATACGTACAATTGCTATTATTGCATTATACCGGTGACTATATCAGTTCAATGTTTTGCCATCAGCATCATTCGGTCAGCGGCATTCCTCTTTATGTTTTAGGCCTTGCATCTACCCACACTGTACCAAACTGGAGTCCAGTCTTCTTTGCAGTCGTTCTCCTAAGAGTGGGTAACGCAATCTTCTGGGGATTGTGCAACGAACCAACAGTACGGCAGCAAAGGAAGGCTATTTGAATTCCAGTCACAGTAGCAGGAAATTCCTTTGCTAAATTACAAGCAGCTCTAATTTGTCAGTCCAGATATTCAGTTAAACTGTCATTCCATTTCATTTCTCCTTTTGCTTGGCGCTATGGACACATCCAGTCTCTTTGCTCGAAGAAGCACTTGTTATGATCCTAAGGCTAAAGCAGAATGTGAGTTCAAAAAACAAAAGTACAGATCATGTATGTCACATGCAGTACAAATAGGTTAGTATGTCTCACCTATCTAGTTGGCGTCCAGGCCCTCCTCAACAGTAGCCAGTTGATAATGCGCTTTCCTCAACTCTCCCAGCTTTTGACGCTCTTTGGTCAGCTGACTTTCAAGCTCAAGGACACGAACCTAGGATAGAGCAGGTAATAAAGTTTCGCTAAAATTACAACTGCTATTTTAACAGACCGGAAAAAAACACGTATAACTTTTTTCATGGCTCTCTACATCTCAGTTTGAACAGATCGTAGTTGTTTTTGACAGCATTATCCATCTTTAAACAATCATCTTCTGGTGTAATTACCTTAAAAAAACTTACACTTCTTGTCAAAAAGCTTGAACATTGTCAAGTTGGCGACTCAATACATTTAGTTGGTAATATTAGTAAGGTCGAATTATAAAACGATTCACATACCTGTGACTCCATTTCATATCTCTTTGCTTGTGTGAGGGTCAACTTGGAGTAATCAGGAACTGCTTCTACGCGAACAAACAAAAAAAGACCAACCAAATTTATGAGCTGAAGCACTTTTATCAACCAATAATTATACCAGCCAACTTTGCAGTGAACGAGTTCAACAATGATTTCAAGCTCATTTTAAAGAAGACAAACACATCAGAATGTTTCCTCAATTGAATCCGGCATAGATCAGCTCCCTGACGCCGAAAGAGACCTTATCAGAACTTCGGTCACCTCTACCATCACCATCACAATTGGCGTCCTCATCCACGAAACAACATTACCCGGCAATGAAGAGGAAAAAGCGCTCAGAGACCTTGCCAAGGACACATCTGTTACAATTTTACCAGCCGATAAGGGCCGAGCCGTAGCCGTGATGAATACTAACGAATACACAGACAAAGTGAGCAACCTTCTACACGACGATAAAACCTACCACAAGATAACAGACTAAAGAAGGAACCCAACATCGTGCACCGAAAATCTCTCAATAAACTTCTTCTACAGATTAAAGATCAGCCAGCCTCGCATGACAGTAGCAAGATACAGATACGGTTTGGCATAATGGAAAGAACCCTGGATCTCCTGCATATGAATAATCCAAATACCTCGCCAACATCTTGTCACCTCTTCAGAATAATAAATACACAGTCAAGAATAGTGCATCTTTCGTTGAAAAGATCCGCACCTTGTCTGTGGATTAGGACGAGATCCTAGTATCTTTTGACGTCGTGTCACTGTTTACTTGTATTCCGACCCACCTAGCCATCGAAGTTGTTAAAGAGAGACTGGACTCTGACCAATCAGTACCAGAGAGAACCAACTTGTCTCTCCAAAATATCATGACACTTCCACAGTTCGTCCACGACAACAATTTCTTCGTATTCCAAGGCATCCACTTCCAACAAATTTTCAGTTGTCCGATGGCATCTCCAGTCAGCGCCATCTTAACTAATCTCGATGGACTCTCTCATCGGCCCCAACCCCTAGTAACCCTCCCAAATGGTGGTTTAGATACGTACATGACAGCCATGTGTGTGTAGAAAGGGAACACGTACATGAATTCCACTCACATATCAATTCCATCAAACCTCACATCAAATTTACAACCGAGATAGAATCAGAAGGCTCCACTGCCTTTCTTGACACCAAAACAACCAGACAAGAAGAGGCTCTATCACTGTATCTGTCTACAGGAAAGCTACTAACACCGACCGTTACCTTGATTTCAAATCACACCACTATCCCCAGCAGTAAACACTCGGTCGTACGCACCCTCATGGATCGCGCAAAGAACATTCCTTCCACCGAGGAGGAAGTATCACGGGAAACTAAACTAGTAGCCAAAGCCCTCGCCGCTAATAACTACCCTACTAATTTCATTCACAATGGCCGCCAACTGAATACGCAACAGGAAATGAATGAGACCGATCAGCGCGGCTTGGTTATCCTGCCCTGCGCCAAAGGGTTCTCCGAGAGAGTCGCAAACGTTCTCCGAGGTTTCAACATCAAGGTCACCCATAAGGTTATTCGCACCATCGCCAACACACTTAAAAAGCCAAAAGACAAGATCGAGAAAGAGGCTTCCAGAGGAATCGCGTATAAGATCAAATGTAAAGACTGTGATTGTGCTTACGTTGGTCAGACATTACGCGCTAAAAACACGCGTAAAAGAACACGCAAAGGCCATTGCCACATTGGATAAAAACTCTTTGTTGGCCAAACACCATATGCTTCACAATCACCAAATAGATTTGGAGAGTGTTGAAATTGCCAGGTCATCGGCGTGGCAACAAAGCTTGACATTCCATGCGGGATAGGAACGCTATAAACGAACACAAAGCGCTACCAAACATTTACAATAACATTAAGAATTTTTAGAGTCATTAAGAATACCCTAGAGACTACTGTTACACTCCTTCGAGGCGTAATTTAGTTTTATCACATATTGTGTACATATACCAAGCAGGACGCCGTTAGACATTTGCATTTTTATCTTTGCTGAAGAAGTCAACAGTAGTAGCCGAAAACGTCCAGTATATATTTTTAGCCAGTGTCAACTTTTTATTTCTTTTTACCAAAATCCATCCCTGGCTACACACCGGATATTTTTTACATCAGTTTATAGTCTGTCACATAAATGGTCATCATTGTTTGCAGAATTTGAAAACTTCGCTTGCACGTATTAGTAGTAGTACGTAAGTAGTTCATTCATTTAAACACGGTAAAATCTTCAATATATATTCAACAACTACAGTAAGCTAAATCCTACTTGCAGTTAAAATCATGTACTTACTGCTGTCCTCGATCATTTCTGCTCCTGTTTTAGCAGATGCTACCACACCGGCTGCAGATTCAACAACTGAAACAAATAAAAACACCCTCTCTAAATCAGATCATCATTGTGTATCACGGAAACACAAAATAACTGCAATTTGCTGATAGCCAAAAATAGCATCTACAGTGACGGTGACAGTGACATACATACATGCATCACCTTTATTTCACCTCGGATGACAGTGACAGTGACAGTGACATGAAGCCACTGTTGGTCGATAGACCCTGTCTAGTATTGTTCACTGGTTGGTTCCTGCGTTTGCAAGTTAAAATGAGGCCGAACGAAGGTGAAAAACTATTTTTTCAATGGTACATAGCGCCACGCAGCGTTGGAATAGAAGTAGAGAGCTAACTCTGAGCTAATTTAGTCAACCTAAAGAACCAAAAAATAACCCAGGAATTTCGGACGTTAGCCCTACAAAGGAAAGAGTCCAAGATTTGCCTCTTTCTTTTGTCTCTTTCTCTGTGGTCCTGTAAAGTTCCCCATTTCCATTCTAGGGGAAACGCTAGAATGGAAATTACTGGGAAATTTTCCAACACTTTAAATCACCTCATAGGTAATTCTCCACTTTTGAATCTCTTGCGAAACCTCTTGTGTTAAAAATTCGTAAAAGTTGCCATTATTTTGTTAACAAAATGGTACATGTCAGAGAAAACTGAAGCTGAGGCAGCAGTTCTTGTAGTTTCTATCTGGTGCTTTACACTGACGTCAACATACCATTTCTGGAAGCCCCCTGTAGACCTGCTAAACCAGCGCTTGTCTGTCGAGCCTTGACTCTCGAAGCAGCTACCTGTAAAACAAAGAACATTCCTACTTCACGCATCTTGCACTTGGAAGTAGCAAATTCAGCCAGCTATCACAACAAACACACCGGGAGTAGAGCCACGTGCAACTACCAACTATCTTGATTACCAATCAAGCGTACCGTGAATTACAGCAAAGTAACCTGGAAACTGTACAGACTGAAACATTCCAGTACTCTCAACTTCGAAAGGTTGGCCGGTTAACTATTAGCGTGTTTTAAGACATAGCGACTGAAAAGTTCAGGTATAACCATTAGATGGCGAACGGATTTCATCTCGAACCAGTTAACAAAACGCTAAGTAAATCAGTCTGAGACAAACAGCTCCAATTTTACGCCTTCTTAGAAAGACCTGAGAATACACATTGCCTTGATTGTGGACTATAGTGAGAACATGTTTCTTAGTTCCACTCACCAGTTGCACTGTACTTGCTGTAATTTCATTGGAAGCCACGACGATTTCTTCAAACTTGCCTTGTCCCTGGACAACTTTATCAGCCGAGTCACTGCAGTGAAAATCACAACGCTTATTGTAATACCATACTTCAGAGCAGTGAAAGAGTAGTGCGTGGTACATGCTAGTTCAGTACAGTTCTTTTTTTGGTAAACAGGTTTTGAAGTTCTGATCGTAAAAGACGAAGCTAAAGGTGTACAAAAACTGTCACATTTCTCACGCTCTCATTGCCAGGATCGATTAGAGGAAAAAAACTCTGCAGTGTCAAGATTAGTTCTGAAAGTTTTCATGAAGTAATTTCGATGGTTGGTAGGAGTACAAACCAAATTCCCAATAGAAAGGAAGCAGATTAAAAGACAGGTTCATGTTTGAAGCACTCGAGATCAGCAAATTACTATAGCAGGAAAAGATCCGTTCTGAGAGAAATGGGCTCCAGTCCATGATCCCACGGAGGAGTAACATCCAACCACTCACAATGGAGTCTTTATGACCAATCAGGTGCAAGATCAAACAAACACACAGCCTTTAGAACATCACTCTGCAGGAGAATACAGTGCTCCCTAGCCACAACTCTGAAAAAAAATAATTTTACTTACACAAGCACCTTGGCTCCCCAACCAACAGCCTTAGCAGCTGAAATCAGACCCTCTGTCCAGCGATGATGACGCTTGTAGAATTCTTTCGCAGTAGCTGAGCCCTGAAAAACAAAGCACAACACTGAGCACAAGGTCGAGTGAAAAAACATCGCACAAGCAAGGAAAGAGAAGAATCATTTTCACCCAACCATGGCCAATGTAAAATTGTTTTTACAACGTGTTGTAAGGCAATAGTAGCATTACTGTTTACGCTGAGCATAGTTGCAATCAATAGTGTCATAATGTTCTTTCTTTCTTCTCTTTTTTTTTCAAGCTTCACGCTTTAAGCATTCAATAAATTGAAATAAAGGTCACGTATGTATACCGTAAAATCCCACTTTAAAGTCCTGGTCTTATATAACTTCATAAGGGGTTTTGGGTGGGCTTATATAAACGAGGGAGGGTGGCTTGTATCCGGGGGGAGCATATAAGCGGAATAAAAACATGTTTCGGAACGACGAGATAAAACGTATCTGAGAAACGAATTAAAGCTAAGATGGGCTTATATCCGGAATAATACCTTTGTTAGCTTATATCCGGGGTAGCTTATAACCAGGGGTGCTTTAACGTGGGATCTTACGGTATAAAAGTTTGGAGGCAAGAAAAATCCAACAGCTTGTACGACTCAGTCTTATACGACATCTTCACTAATGAGGATTTATCCTTTGTTTGTTTTAAATGTTATTTTTATTCCCAATAGTTCAATGGGTAAATCTCAGTTGCACTTTTATCATATAAACTCCAGAGTACGGACTCCTGTTGTATGGACAGTTCAGCTGATCAAATTGACACTAAAACTCACATAACTCTTCCTCTGCGAGAGCTTGGTTTAAATTGGAAAGATCGAGGTTCAGCTGTACCTGGCCGAGACAAAAAGGCGCACAAATCAACCTGTGTTTACAATTTTAATGCCGTTACCTTGCCTTCGTGGACAATTTCCTTTTGCAATACTTTAGACTTCATTATCAACACCTTGATTGCCTGGAAATGTACAACACGCAGGTTTAGTGCACAAGAAAATACACCATGAACAGGTAAATAGTTTAGAGAAAACCTGCCCGCGTGCTAGCGAAAGTTAATTCAAGGCCCAGCTAAACGTACACAACATTTCAACACAACAAACTGTAACATTGCTGCGCACGTTTGGCGACAAGGTGGCCAAATGACTGCAACATGTTTTGCGCAACATTGTTACAACATGTCGCACTGAAATATAACGTGTGTTAGGCTGGGCCTTAAAACAATAGATAACCTCTGCCCCCCACCCCGTAGGTCTTAAACAGGGAATTCGGTGAATGTCAAGCTTATATTATTGAGAAAGATACAAAACATTAGCTGCAATTGTTCAACGCCCAATTAAGCTAACCCATGATTAGCAAGAATTTTGATTTCAGTTTTGTAACGGCTTTTCGGTGAGGTTTTTTGCTTATATTATTTGCCCTTCAGCTCTGAACTTGAATTATCTCACACAACACAAAACACAAGCAGTGAACAACATTTTTATACAAGAAAAATTAACACAGCCAGAGCCTCTCAAATAATTCTTATAGTTGTTAATCTTACAAAATTAATAGTCGTGTATTACAACTGTTTTAAATCCATTAGATTAATTAAAGTTCTTCATAATTTGGGCAAATTACCTCCATTAGTGCTGTGCAGGAATCCAGAATTCTGTACATAAACGAAATCAAACGAATGAACATAAAGTTATGAACAAAACATAAAATCGCCTTTAGCTTAGGTGCCCCATAGCAAGTTTGCATTTTGTCTTCATTTGTAGTTTTAAGCTTACACAATCTCCATCACAGAATGTACGTGTTCCTCTCACCTTCCGTTCACTTCAAGTTGGACACCACTGAATTTCTCTCTTGTTTTGTTAAGCATTTCCTAACATAAATTAACAAACACAAATTTCAACTTTTGTTTATTAAAAGAAGCAAACCAATAGACCATTTTCCAGTTCTATGAAATGTAACCAAGCCTGTGTATGAAAGCGAGGTTTGGCTTGACCTTGTGATGATTGAGATTAGACCCAAGTTAGCATGATAACAGGATAGTTTATATTTGAAGTCACAAGGCTTGTATGACAACTGCGGCCTTGCCTCTGCTCAAAGGCCCAATCACTAACCACGGAATTGTAAAATGGGTTATGAACAACAAGAAAAATAAAATAAGGGCACAGGACAAGAGCACAGTTGAGGAAACGACAATTTGTATTGCTAATATATACCAAATGAAATCGGATGAGTTCGAGCGCTGATTTGAAAAAAAAGGCGAGTGACACAAGGAAAGACCATAAAATGCACTTGTTAACTGACAACATGACCATCCACGAGTGAAAATCAAAAGTGTTTTAATCAGTTATGGATTACAGCCACGTGTACAGCTGTGCGGGTACCTAAATAACTCATTTGTTATCATAATTATTATGGACATTTTTTTTACCTCAATTCTGGCCGCTGAATCAGCGACAAGCTGAGAAAAAAAAAACACAAAAGATAACTCGGTCAGTAGATGACGCCTAACTATTATTTACAACAGTTAGTATGCTTGTTACCCATAATATCGTTCAGTAAAACTGTCAATGTGGGGACTGAGTAGGCGAAGCATTCATATGCCTCGTACTGTGGACCTTTTAAGGTCCTACCAGTGTGCTTAAAAGTACAGTGGTAGACTAGGCTATTAGGAAAACAATCAGTAACTTTCGCCATTTATGATGTCCAGAAACACAACGACAACTACAACGGTGACAAACAAAAACAAGAAAAAACAAAAGAAAAATATGGTTATATCTAGCTCTCACCTCGGCAGTGGCATTAATTTCATCGTCAACTTCGCTACCAATACTATCCATATTGTCCTTCTCCTTGGGTGCAAGAGCCTGTTTATAAAACCAGTTGGATCTGTTACTAAGGCAATATATTATACTTTTCTTTCTTCTATATGTACGCCAGCTGTTAGGTTAAAGTTCAAAATAAGAAAATGACCGACTAAGCGTTTTCATTGGCCAAAGTAGCCGTAACAACGGGGCGGTCATAGGGCGAGGTTCCAAGCTGACAAAATCAGTTACAAAATAATTACTGGTATCCGCAGTGAGTACAGTTACGCGTTCTCTAATAACACACATGCGACCCACAGACCTCAACTCCTCAACTCCACCGACGAAGGGCACCTGCTCTTAACGCTTTCAAATTCGCCACGACGGTCAATTTACGTTAATTAACTTGATAATCAACTAAGTGTTATGGTTGCCACACGACAAAGGGCAACCGTCTCTTTGGGGGCTGGTAAAATAAGTATCCAGTATCGTAGGCACGCGTCAAGAGGTCATAGCCAGCTAAAGTAACGACAAACTTCTCGGGACAATTACCTCTTTATGAGTCCAAAAGACATAATCTGCTCTTCCTTGCTCCGTATACTGACCCCTACCAAGTTTGTAGCATTTTTGTTTCACTTTTTGATTGCAAACTTACCTCGGCGACCTTAGTAATATCTGCGATATACTTCTTCACAGCATTCAATTTATCAGCAAGAGCACTTGGATCTTTAGTGATGAAAAAACAAATGATACGAGTTCATGATAGCTACGTCTCTCAGAATGCCTCTTCATATGTGGGATCTTTGTATGTTCACCAGTCAATCCGAAAAACCCTCACCTGGTTCCTTCTGTTTATAGAGTTGTAACAGTTCAAGAGATGCCTTGCCAGCGGATTCCCCAAGTGACTGAAGATCTACAAACCAAGAGGTAATTGAATCAGTTTATACAGCCTATATTCTCACAAAACTACTCTAGCGGCAAATACAAACCACCAAGCTTGCAAACAGATGTCAGAACGAGGTCTGTTGTGATGAAGAAAGAAACCTACTGAAACGTAGAAGCCAGATCAAACGAAAACAAGAATTGAAGGATGAGAAACGGGCAAGAGTTTTCTTCAGGCCAACCAAACAAAGATGAGAGCTGGCATGCAAGAGGGACAACAATTTGTCACGCAAACAAATTACAACGGACATATTGAGGTTGCCTGTGCTTACAGTTCTCACGCAACCCTCCTGTAACGGTGAAACGAGCGAGAACTTTCATATTGTTCGATACATGAGAGCGCATGAGGCTTTTGGCGGTCAAACCAGAGCGATATTTTGAAACTCTAGCCAACTCTATTTTGATTCTTGTTTAGAATATAAACAAAAACTGTGTGATTTTAAGCTCTGACCTGAAGCTTCTTGAGTCGGTGCCATGTGAGAAGTGGCCTTTGCATTGAGAATGCATTCACTGAGCTGGTGCGAGAACGACCCAAGACAGCATGCACACGGAATGGCATCTGAAAGAGCGATATATGAAAAATCATGCTCAACAAAACAACTGAGACAGGAAACTAAACGGTATGTCTTACGTAAACTTCGAGGAGATGGTTAATAGTTGAAACATACCGACAACAATGTTCGTATCCCACCTTTATGATCTTTCTGATAAGATGTAAACGTTGAATTTAGCTCATCAACAACGCCCGGAAGACTTTCGATTCTGCCCAACAAGTAATCTGAAAGGAAGCCAAAAAATACGTTTAGACACCGTAAGGTCGAGGGCGATAAAGGGGCGGAGATGTGCGGGGAACTCGGGGATGGGGGTAAACCCGGAGTAAAGGAGACGGGAAACGCTATGGAAGATTGGAAAGGAGGGGCGAGGAGCGGCACTTCCAAAGTGGCGACCTATGCCCTAGAGAAAAGGAAATCATACCGCAGTATTTGGCAATAAAAAAAGCACCAAGAGTTGGGAACCATCAAGGAAGGGAGAAGATTAGGGTACACTTACACGAATGCCAAAAAATAAAAAAATAGCTAAATACTGCACCACACCTAGACATGTCCAGCTTGATCATATCAAGTGTTTTGCATGACGTACAATTCAAGTAATCACTGGGTTGACGGGGCAAGGGTTCCTTCCTTTCGAGCTTCACCCCACACTATGCTCACGTAATTGAGGTAGTTATATTAGCTAAGTTTTTTCATAAATCCTAATTCCTTTTATAATTTGCAAGGTTCCGTAGAAGAACACAGTAATGTGACATGGTTACCGTAGATTTCATTATAATAACGTTTTCTCAACATGTATGATTTGTGGTTCCCATTCTTCCAAATAAACAACTAAGTTTTTATGAGCAGCAAAGACACCAAGAGTTTTCGTACCTGCAGTGCATGTGGTTGAGCTATGTTTAGGGTTGTGAAACTGGTCTAAAGAGTCTTGGATTGTTTTTTCCGCTGCTTCTATTGCCATACCTGCCCAGTAAAGAAGACCACTATACATCACTATTTAAAATACAGGTTACTACGCAGAAATTTGTGNGAACTTTGATTTCAGTTTTGTAACTTTTCGGTGAGGTTTCTGTTTTTATTGGATGTCCATCAGTTTTAAGTTTGAAGAATCTCAAACTACAGAAAATTCTAAATGTCGCCTGGCAGGCAGCAGGTAAAGTAACTGGCACCCACTATCCCACGAACAGGTCTATTAACCAGAGGTTAGTTTGGGAGAAATTATTCTTGCCTAATAAGTTTACACTAAAATCCAGCAACATAGAAATTCGTCTCGGGAAACCTCGAGGTTCTCAGGAAAACAAAACTGTTTTCCCGAGAAAAATTGATTCATTAAGTTTATGATGTTGGTCATTCTACCAGGACAAAGAAATCACCTACAACAGCAACAAAAAGTAGAAACAAAAATGAAAACCTTTTCTTCATGATCTTTTTTCATTTTTTCTATCTGTTCTTCAGCCACTTTCCTTGCTTCTTCCGCATCACCTTTTTCCTGTTTCAAGGCTTTGACCTCCGCCATTAGAGATGAAATCTTCCGAGGATGGAAAATAAGAAATAACAATAGTTCTTACTATTGGCTAAACACCGCTACTGACCTGGTATATTGACAAGTTGGACATTAAGTCCCAGACAGATCATTGAGTTCATGACAAAATATGTGTCTACTGAGGGCCTCCCAGGGGCGGTGAGATAATGTTCCCTTCATCCCTCAAAAATGTCTCATTTTCTCCCTTGTTCCCCATTAATAAATTCCATTGTTCCCTAAACTTTTTTGCGAAAGTTCTCATTAATAATAGATATCCCTTGTTTCCTCTTATTAATACAAAAATAATCCCTTATTCCCTAGAAAGAAATGATCACGTTCCTCTTTCCCTCAAAACGTTTAACCTGCTGCACAAGTCAGTCAAGGATAGATATGAATGACGGACTGTTTTGGAAAATTATTGTCAATCATCTTTGTTGTTGATAGCTTTTCCACGCAGTCTTAGAGTACATGTAGTAGTGATGATGTAAAGTATAAGGCGCACTGATTATTCTTGCCTCTTGCTTTCTGTCTACCGTGTCTTTTAAAATCGTTGACGTGGAATTTCTACCTTTTCATCACGCTCCTTTGTCAGTCTTTCGATCTCGTCTCCAGCTCTCTGAAGACAGAAGCAATGCGTTACAATCATTACAACAGTATAAATCTAAATAACATCTCATTCTAATTTCAAAAGCACGTTTAATAATTATACGCTAAGGAATCTAATTATTAATCGATAAAAAATGAAATTCCTCTGATGGTATTTTTGGAAACAAAATTAATCACATGTTACCTTTATTAATGAAACCGAGATAGACTATCACTACAGTATCAAAAGCCTTCTGTTACTTACAAGATAACTTTCACTAAAAATTAGGTCCTTGAGAGGGATTTCAACAACACTAAGTATGGCTCTGGAAAAAAGGCAGAAACAAGCCGTACAAAAGTCTGTTCCAGATTACCTTCCCGTCCTGCTCAGCCATTTCAGCTTTTTGAAACACTTGAAGAAGTTCTGTTGACTGCACAGAGGAAATACACTTAGATATGGTTATGGACCAAGCTTGTTTGGTCAAGAGGCAAGACATGGCTGGCCAATTTTTTTTTTGCCTGTTTACAGACTGAGGCACAAATGAGGCCATAAATGCATATGCAAAAAAAAAAAAAAAGAAAGAAAGAAAAGAAAAGCAGTATTTGGTTAATCTTGCTCGTCAGGGTAGCTCGCTTTGTAACATAAGCAAAGAGTGACAACACCAATATGTTATTTTTGACATTTTGTACCATTTTAATTCCACACAAACATTCTGTTCACTGGAATTCTTAAAATAAACTAGACTAGAAATAAAATTAACTAAACTAAACTAGTGTTACAGGAATTCAAGAAAATGAGTTTCTCTAACTTGTATTTAAGTCACCTGTATCATTACAACAATTAACTACTGCTCGAATATAAAAAGCGTTTAGTACCTTATCATCCACTTCCTGTTGTAGTCTTTCATTTGCTTGACTCAATTCCTATATAAAAAAGACAGAAAAAAAATCAACCCAGAAAACCAGTTTACAATTTTCTGACCACCCTTTAATAGGTTGTAATAAATAGTGAAAGTAAAGGCCAAGATTAACTAACGGTTTCCGAGTTACCAAGCAAAAACACATGATTGTTACAAGTGTGCTTGTAAAGTGTGGAAATTAGTTCCCTGGAAAGAGTCCAGAAGCCACGCAAGATTATAAGTAATATTTTTTAGAACAAAACTACATGTAATTTGTTGCACAGAAAGAACACATATTGGGAAAAGATGAGAAGAAAAATCTGTCTTGCTGTGCAGAATATGAAATTGTAAACAAGACCAAGTCATTTTCTACTAATAAAAAATTTTCATCAGCTTAATACACCAGCCTGTACCTTGTCATCTCCCAACAACATACCTCCTTTTCCTTTTCAGATGCACCCAGTTTTTGCTTCACTTCAGCATTCTGGTCAAGAGAGAAAAAACAAATCATGATGATAAGCTGAAGTCAAATACAAATTTACATCCCCAGCCACTGGTCATTGTCAATTTTAATATAATATCAACATCACCAACAATAAATAAAAGTAATAATAAAAACAAACAATACAAATTTTCAGTGGCACATCCCACGGAGAGGCTCTTCATCCATTGTTTCCAGATCAAATTGGAATTTAAAAGAGTTGGTGTTTGAGGATGGAGGAAAACCGGAAAAGCAGGAGAATAACCCTCAGTCCAAGAAGAAAAATTCATGGTTATTAAAGTTCTTTGGCTTGTGGACAAAAAAAAAAATTTGCAAAACAAATTTCAAGTAACCACTTCACTTGCCTCCTAATAAACCTGGCCATTAATAATATTGTAAAACAGATTGCACTTTTGCAGCAAATTAAAAATTGATGTTTGCATGAAATAATTATGCAGTGACAGTATATAAATAGCAGACACAACTAGAATACTAATTTGGTGGAAGGACACCAATGACCCCATCATTTCTAGTATACTGTTACATCCAACCTACAGTTCTTAAAAGCTGTATGTGTTCTTCTCGCAGTTTCCCATACATTCCTTTAAGCTTGTTAAATTTCTCTTCAGCTGGGCCTTTCTGGTCTGCAGTTAAAGTAATAACAAAAACATATAAAATTATTATTTACTGTCTTTCCTTTCACTTCTGGTAATAACAAGATTATGTCTAGAACAGAGAATCTGTTGGCTCTGTCTCAGGGCAATTCTACTGGGTACCAATTTTTGCCAACTGATGAACAAACGTATAATCCAAATATACAAGGTGACCTATAATGACGACCAAGGGAAACATAACATATAAAATAATATAGATAAAAATTACCATAAATTAACTGCTGTTCCACGCTTAGAGAACTTAGGGTTTGATTGGTCGCATCAAACAGAAAGAAAGCCAATAGAAAGAGGCCAATGGAATGTCAATAACTTTGTCCAGTGAAAATGGTACCACATGTATCAGGGGGAATATCCACCTTACCTTTCTTGTCATCCTCTTTACTCTCAAGGTCTTTCCTTAACAAAACATTCTCCTGAAACGATAAATGTATCCAATGATCAAAGGAAAAGCAAAATGTGCTTTGGCAATTATTCTGTTAAACCAGTTTTCTTAAACCCTTTTGATGTAACTACAAATGAATCAGAACTTTGAAGGGAAAAATGGAACTGGTACATATGCAGGAGTGGAAAAGCTGTGTAAGCCAAATTCAAATTTGATTTTCACCTGCCGATTGGTTAAACAAATGACAGCTTTGCTTTGATTTCCTTGTGGGATGCATTTACCTAATGGACAGTAAGCTGACTCTGGATCAAGTCCTCTGGGTTTGAGCCCTGGCTGAGGTCATTGCATTGTGTTCTTGGACAAGACACTTTACTGTCAAAGTACCCCTCTCCACCCAGGTGTATAAAGGACTGCCAGCAGATTTAATTCCTCGGGGTAACTCTGTGATGCTTTAGCATCTCATTTGGGGGTGGGGGGTGGGNGGGGGAGTAGAAATATGTATGCATTTAGTCACTTCATGTCTAGCGCTGGTGGTGCGGGACACTTGTTCTGACACATACGTTACCCTCTTTACCTCCTTACTGTGATTCGTTTTCACAAGTTCAGTAATGTTGAATAAAAATGTAACAAAAATTGCAACAAATGTGATTGCAACAAGAATTAAGTTGAAAAAGGCCTATTAAAATAACAAATTATTACACCTCACCTACAGGCATCTGACGATAACTTTATGAAATTGTGTTTTTCCCCAACATAAATCTTATAGTGATTTCATCATAATCAGTTCTTGTAAGAATCCAAAAATTCTGGATACTTTTACTGTTTCTACAGCAACTTTATAATATTTTAGAAAGATAATTCAGTACCTCACAGGCTTTTTCTGCAATCGTCTTGTACTCATTCAGTTCATCTCTGAGCTAGTAAAAGAAATAAAACATACCTTACCTTAAAAAGCAGTTACATAAATTTTAATACCGGTACTGTATTTTCTAAAATACCCTGTAAAAATAAATTCAGTTTTGAATCATTACCAAACTTACCCTCCCTATTTCTGAACGTAGAGAGTCCTCAATAGCCTTTGCCTAGGAGTGCATAAAGCAGAATTACCTTTAATATTTCCAATTTGCTTTTGTGGGTTTAACAAAATACAGATTTAGTTAACTTTGCTTAATATTGTCACAGAGGAAAGGAATTGACAGGAAAGGAAATGATAGCAAATTTATTAATCAGTGAGAGTAACAAATTAAATCAAATTTTGCCTGGTCTCAGCAAAGATTAATCGACAAAGAATACAGAACCCACTGGCACATTACAATGATCCTAAATGCAGCAAACAAAACACTTCTAAAGAAAGCAGCCTCACACATGACTTTGAACCAAGCCAGAAAACAGATCTGAATTCAGTGACAAAATAATTTTGAACTGCATCAAACTTGGCTAAATGTAAGTATCTGAAACACTACTGATATAATTTCTAATGCTGTTCTACATTAAACCACTCCCAAACGAAAACCACTCACATCATTTTTTTGACGTTCTAAGGCCAGCTTTAGTTCAGCAATTTCCGCTCGCAGCTGATAGATTATTAGGTCCCTAGACAATGAAAGCCACAGTCAACATAATTTATTTATCGTGTAGAATTGAATTAGAATTGAATTAGAAACAGTAGTTTTTATAAGTTTACTCTTAATTATTTTTACATGTACAATGTACTTACACTCTTAACTGAAATAATTAACAAATATTTGCCGCTTGTTAAATAAATACACAAAAAAATACCACACAACATTTGGCAGTAAATGGGACTAAGGTTGTTGGGTGCTCCCTGGGATAAATAGCGTGGAAGCAATACACCCTGCAAAGTGAAGGTAAAGCGGGGTGGCAGCAGCACACCCCATGAGTAATGGATGAGCCAACAAGTGTAGTGCATGCTACACCTGGTGATAGCCTGCAAACTAAAAGGGATGAGCCAATGAGTGTCGGACATGCCACACCCAGCTTGTGCATGAGGCTAAGGTGGGGTCAGGGTCTTTGCTACGTGCAAAGCTAACAAGCAAGTGTGCACCCAGACCTGTAGTCCAGCTTTATTGAATAAGCTAAGGGTGAGGTGGAAAAAAAGGCAGATTACAGTAAGCAAGGATACTGTAGTGTTGAACACATATCAACAAAGGTGCTGTATAAAATGCGTACATGCAAACATGCATGATAAGGCATAAGTTGTAATAATCAGTTACACAATGTGACAGCACATTCTTTTTTTGAGGTTTGTGAAAGCAACCACAACCATGGATAAAAGTATGATAAGAAATAACTTTGTATCAATTACAGCAAGCGATTACCGCATTCTAAATTCTTCGCATGGCTTGCAAGTTAAGCAGTTCATTGTCTAACACAACAATAATTATTATTAAAGCAGTTCTCTACAACAGTAAGACATTGTCTCTTGGGTGATAGAGTTCAGGTGTTTACAACCACTAAAGGTAACCCACTGACTGAGCTGCCATAATTACATGACTAAAATATTGCATGCACATCAAGTTGTTAACTCTATTTTACAAGTAAAATTGCCATTTATACTAGAAGAACTCAAATACAATGAATGCTGGAAATACAAACCTGTTATCAGGTATAGGTTCATCTGTAGAGTTGATCCCTAAAATGTCGGCCTCTGGAGTCTATAAAACAATTTACAACATAATAAAACTATGATGCATAATATGTGTGACTATTTCTTTATCTATTTCTTTTCCTGAGATAAGCAATACTGGTGTGTAATAAGCCTGCATGGAGACGTCTACTGCTTCATTTATTTCACACAGAAAAGTGTCTTCTGTAAAGTGCCATCACTAATTGTGTTCCAGTACCATGCTGTTTAGTCAAGGCATGGTGGCCTCATGGTTAGTGCACTTGCCTCCATATCCAGTGGTCTGGGTTCAAGCTCTGGGCATGGGGACAATGCGTTGTGTTCTTGGGCAAGGTAATTTACTCTGAATCACCATGTCTTGCTCCACCCAGGTGTTTAGATGGGCACTGGTGAGTTTAATGCTGGGATGTAACCCTGAGATGGACTTAGCATCCCATCCAGGGAGGTTTAGAAATATTCCTAGTCACCTCATGCTACTGAAACCTGATGTGCCACTTGGTTCAAACATGTACGTAGACTTTACCATGGTTTCTTGACAATTTATAAGCACTGTCAAAGTCAACTTTGACTGGCTACAAACACAACATTCTCGACATTCATTGACGGCTGAGTTGTAAACTAAGCTAGACATTGTACACTGTTGTACCTGAGGAGTTGTTTGAAGCAATGGTTCTGTTAGGGGAACAGTAAGTGGCTCCATCAAGCTCTGACGCTTAAAGTCTTCAGTTGGTGCTAGCTTACGCAAAGGACCCTCATCACTTGTAGATCTTAACAAAGCTGGCTTGGGCTCAGATAATGTGAAGGATGGAGGATTCTGTGTTAGCAGCAATTATAGTTTTATTAGCAATCATTCAAAAAGTAAGAAATCAATGAAATATGTATTAAGTGATGCCATTCTCAAACCCTACAGATATTTATAGAAATTGATGTTGTTTCTCTAGACCCTGTGAGGTATTATGTCCAATTCGATGCCCTAGAGTACAAATAGCATGGAAAAGAAGCACAGATATCTCACTGTGTTTGTACTCTGTGAAACCAGTTCAAGAGGTTATCCATAAAGTCCTCTTTTCCTTCTGACAACATGAAAGCAACCAAAAAGGTTCAAAGTCAAGGTTTACAAAAAGAAATGGTTGCCAGATAATGATAATATAGTCGAACCTCCTGAAAGCGACCACCCAAAATGTCTAGCCTAGGAGGTCGCTTACGAGAGGTGGTCACTTATGAGAGCTTAGACCATATTGGGTCAAAATTTTGCCTCATTAGCATATGGTAACTGCAGAGGCTCACCCCATGTTTTATAAGTTTTATTCGTGAGAAAAGTGAATTTCGACAAAAAATACGGTACTTATCAATGAAAAATTTGTGTCGCTTGTACTACCCAGGAATATGATAATGTTACAACACCTTATTATCCAATTTACATTCTATTATCTGTCAAGTGGTCACTTGCAAGAGGTTAAAAATAAAAGAAAATTTCAAACTTTTGGCTCTAAAAGTGGTCACGGCCACTTACGAGAGGTGGTTGCTTACAAGAGGTTCCAAATATAGTGATTTGGCTTGGAAATGCGGGGTATTTTGGAAAACTGATCACTGAGGAGAGGTGGTCGCTTATGAGAGGTGGTTACCACCAGAGGTTTGACTNAAAACACTTGAGCAGTATCAGTCGGCAGTGGAGCGAGGCTAACCCAAGCACAAAATTGGTCTTGGTAAGCCGACAGCCATTGCTGCTTACCTTGCATTTAACAAACCAAAGAAACAAAATGTTTATGAGATTAATTTATTTAAAAAATTCAACTTTTATCAGTCTCAAAATAATAATATTGTCGAAACACTGATTGATGTCAGGAATGACACATCAAAACATCACTTCTTAAAATCAGTTAAAATAAACACATAACCTTAGTTTCCGATGTGAATGTTCCAGTCCGTTTCAGGACACAGCAGCGAGCAAAGTATAGCTCACTACGGCTCACGGCTAACTGCGTCGCAGCTAAAAGGTATCTCCGACACTATTTCAAACTGATTTGAGAATCACCAACTACAGAGGACACAAATTTCCACCATCATTAACGCTCTTTTCATTCAAAACTCGAATCGAATGGCCTCCAGACTGACCGCAACCACAAGTTTTCCGAATGTATTTTTCAACTCCTGAAAAATTCAAGGTAACGTCCAACCTTTCCGGCTCACAGGGCTGCTCTGATGACAAAAACTGACTTGACTTTTCCTGCATTTTCTTTAAGATTTGTAGATTTCGCAGTTCAATTCTGCTTTCGCTGTAAGCTTTCATTCCACGAGAAGTAACGTGCGAGTCAAATTTGACAGTGGTGTGATTTTCCTGGACCAATCACAATTCTTTGCTACGCATAGCATCCAATGAGATTGCTTCATTTTGTATAGACAATAGATTATGTCAAATGGCTTTTTTCGTGTTTGCCAAAGTGGGCAAAGGCCAGCTTTCGAGTTATGTTGAAAGATTGTGAAATAAAAAAGCTTTGTCTGTAGTACTTTGTTTCATTATTATATAAAACAAACAGATTCCATGTTGCCATGTGTCCATTCAGTAATAGATCACAGAAGACGTCAAAATGTGGTAAGAACATCAGTGACACACTCGGCTAACACCTTGTGTGACACTTTTTTGTTCTTACCACATTTTGACGTCATCTGTGATCTATTACTGAATGGACACATGGCAACATGGAATCTATTTGTTAAGTTCATAATGGCATAGATGTTATGTACAATACAGACAGTACATGCATTGCATCTTAAACTTGATGTTAAAAACCTTGTTTCACCTCTCAACTCAAATACATTTTCCGATTGGAGGAGGACATGTTGCGTGTCTTGGGTCAAAACTCACTAACTCCCTAACAACAACTTGAAATTTTGACTCGCACGTGATCAGGTTGTGCTCCTTGAAACCACAGCAAATGTGTGAGCCAGCGGGCATCAAGGAAATGATTGCTTCACAGTTTTTTTCTATTTTTGAGTATAAGGGAGGTATAAGGGAGGTATAACAAAACGCTTCATAACTAGTCCCTCGGGAAACAGTGAGTTTTGTTTCCTCTCAACTTCAATGTTCCCCTCGGGAGGTCAAGAAAAGTTTCGTTTTGTCTTGTTTCTGAATCAAAATACACGTACGTAGGAAATGTAATTATTAATTAAATAACGACTTATTTAAAAATTGCCTTCATTTTTTGTAAACTAGTGAATTTAAATAATTTATTTGGAAAATTATTGAAGTAATCCCTCATTTACTTAATAGTTACCTGGATTATGACAGGGAATGGACAAATCCTACACTGCACAGCCTGGAGTTGGGAATTTGCACGGAATCTGTCTAGTGTGCTGAAGACTAACAAGGATGTTATCAGTGAGACATAAGATAACCAACAATGAGGCACTACTAACAATAGTATTTATTGCTACTTTTATAGGGATAATTTCACTGTTCTGCACTTGTGCAAGGTTTGGCATAAGCATAAAGTATCTTATAATTATCTTTCTCACTATGTCACTTAACTAGCTGTTCCATGATCATAGACTTAAAAAATGAAGACTCCTAATAAAATTAATTTTATAATAAAATTAAAAGTAAACTCACTTCTTTTCTCAAGATCTACTAATGTATCCAAGTAATCAAAGATATCCACTGACAATTCAAAACTAGAATAACAAAAATATCAAGTAAGTTGTATATTACAACTGCCTTTCAAAATGGAGGTTGTGTGCCTGTACCACTATTGGCAGGCAGCTGACAAATGGAGACAGCTCCCATGGCTGGTAAAATCCATGAGACCCCCACAAGGGGAAAACAGGCACCAGTCACACTGATAGAACAGTTGAGGGGGAAAGGGGCAGGGGAGGGGGAGGGGCCGCCTATGGAAAGAGCCCTGACACTCAAGAAAACACCCACTAACAGCAAAACACTACTAACAGCACTTTGGTTCTAAAAGAAAACATGAAATCATTGTGCATGCTGCATATCTGAATGCCACTGAACACAATGGAAGACTGGTGTGCCTTGTTGTTAACAATGCTAAATTGTATTTTTTTTTTTTTAACTTAATGTACATGTACATGTAATCCATATACACAAATTAACTGTTTCCACAATAATTCTCACAATCATAAGAAATGATTTGTGCATTTCTTCTAGTAATATTACTCTGTGTAAATGCCCTTTTAAACAATGCAAGGCTGTGGTCTACAAACATTTTGAGGAGCCCAAGGGTCCTAACCATGAAATCCTGGGTACCCTGCACTTAAGCATAATATGAAAAAGTGAGTTTTTCCAGTAGCCCAAGGCCAAAAGTTAGTCACCTGTGGCACCCGGGCACTTCTAGAGCACAGCCCTGCACTGGAGGGAGTACTTTATAAGGTCACTTATTAGCAATAAGCTCCTATGAAAAGTCACTTTGGTGCAAATATTCCAATGAAAGTATCAAGCATAAATAAATGATTTCCAGCAACCAAGTCTTGATGGGTTACCCTGTAAACCACAAGACAGTAAGCCTTCTTGATTCACTTAAGGTGGCTGAACACAGTTTTTGATAACTGTGTTTCATGCACCTTTTTCTCTAAAACCCTTGATCCCTCGGTCATCAAAAATGGCAGCAAGCAAGTTAACAACACAAACTTTAGTTTTTTGATGGTTAAGCTTATGTATGTGCCATTGCCATGGCAACATGAATAAATATAAACAGGCCTTTGAAATTTGTTTTGTTTATTTGCAGAAAATCTAGTCATTAGGTTTTCTTTATAATTTGCATGCAACAAGCTTGTAACGATTCTCACAAGTTAACACCATTTTGCTAATAACTTAACAGAGAGATCTTTAATTATCCCTTGTTGAAGGTTCCCTAGAATATCTACAATTTCCTTTGTTAAAGTTCAAGTATTTTCAATACTCCAGTTACTTATTTCCTAAAGTATTTTCATGCCAAATTTTGTGAAATTCTAATGAGCGGTTTTCGAGAAATAGGCATATTTCCGAGAGTGCAATTTTTCATTCAATCGCAATTTTTTGACTTACTACACATGCGCTGCATTTAACTGGGTTCTTTCAGTAAGAAAGAAAAAGCTGAGAATTGCTGGGTTCTTTGCATCATTACCTTTTCTAACATATCTTTGTAGTGAAAGACTAAAGCCATCAATACACCGCGTTCAATTATAGAGAAAAATAGCACAGATGCTGCGGGTGTTGAGTAAATAAAATAATCTCTCTATTGACGGCATGTTTGTTTTTTGCAATTCTTGTGCACGTGCTGAATTGCATCAGCAAAAGCGCGCGCAAAAACTGTGTTCGGCCACCTTAATAAACTTACTAATCATTAACATCGGTTCCAGAATAGACGAGTGGTCCACCATCACTGTTGTGGAGCGTGCCAGGAACCGAGTCATTCTAAACAGGAAAAATTAAATTACAAAAAAGTTTATCAAATTTTCATATTTGATTAACTTAAAGCATAATTATCATTAGATCAAAATTTCTAGCATGTATTATTTTCTAATCAAACATGAACAACCATCATTTAGTAAAAAATCACTTACAATTGAGAAGTGACTAAAATCATAAAAAAAAAAACAAACAAATTTAACTGAATAAAAACGGAAGTCTGTAAAGGAGCAACTATCAGCCAACAAACATTAGACAATTTTTTTTTTGGGGNGGGGGGGGAGAAGTGATCTGGTTGGGAATCATCACAAAAATAAAATTATCAAAAGACCTTACGTTTGAAGAAATATTGCTACCTTCTGATGGAAGTCCAGCTTTGCTATCAGTACAGCAAGGTAAGTATGAATTAACCAGCCATATCCTCCCTTGGTTGAATGTTTCTGCATGGAAAATATATAATTATTTTAATTACCAAACTATAACTTAACTTTGTCAATAACATCAAAATAAACCCTACCTCTTGATTCATATAACTGTACAGAGTATACATGTACATGTAAGTACACGTGGTTTTATGGATTGATCCGGAAGTGTTACCATTAAAAATGAAGGCTGCTAAATACTCCCGATTTCTTTTAATTTCAACTGCTATTTACAAATTATTCAAAATTTGTCAAATCTACTCTCTGACACTTTCCAGAGTTTACACTTGGAGGACAAGTATAAAATGGACTTGGCATCTACTTGTCACACCATTTTGAATTTCTGCTAAACTTTTGAACGCACTTCTTAAACAACTATGCCTAAAAATGCTTGTTCATATAATAATGTTGTGGTTCTAGTATTACAATAGACCAGAACAAAAGAAAATAAAAGACTGGACTGGCCAAGGTTAAAATCAAACCAAAAAATTTACATTGTACATGTGAATATGATTACATTATAAGCTTGTCTCAATTTACCCAGAATTCTTTCATATCCTTTAACATCTGTTTATATTTAAGAGATTCCTTCAGAGCCTGTTAAAAGAAACAAAAATAGTTCTTTGTCGTTACTAGGTTGCAGCACAGGAAACTATAATCCTCTCACGGCCCTTCCTGTTGCTAGTGAGATGGCCAATTTATGATGGAAACTATATAAACTCTTCCCTTTGAAAAGAACCCATGCTCTTTCCCCTTGCAGTTGGTGAAAATACTACCCACTTATTAACTGAGAGTGAGGTCTACACAGGAAAATCTCAAACTGAGACCTTGCTGTGTAAGTATTGACCGAGCAATAGCAAGGTCAATACAGCAAGGCCAAAGTTTGAGATTTTCCTGTAAAGACTGAACCATTGAGGTTAATAAGTTGTTTATTATATTGCTTTTTGCTTTGTTTTTGCAGGCCTGCTTTTGGCACATGGGCATTATGGCAACCCTCCAAGTTAACTTTTTTCCGTAGTGGCCATTTGACCACTGACTGTTCAGGTTTGGTCGCCAGTGCAAAATTTTAGTCGCCAAAATATATGCATAAATTAATAATTAATTAATAATAAATAATAATCTTATTATTATCTAACTGTATTATTAACAACATTTTCCTTGAACCACCAAGTAAATTGAAGTCCCATTCAGTGAAAGAACTACCTAATGTTGATTCAAATATTCTTTTATTGGTATGATTGATGATCAAATGAAATAGTTTCTGATCACAATGAAAAAGTACTATATTATTGCAACAGTGTTGTGAGTTGATCACAATAAGATAGCCTCATTTGTAGCTGAATGGCGGAAAGTTTTCCAATGTTTATTAAGGCGGCATCAAATTCTTGCTGAGACCATAAAGCGAACACTATTTTTACCTTATCGCTTATGATCTTTTTTAAATGTTCAACCTCGTTTCCTGCTTGAATAACCAAACGATATAAAACTTCATCTGAAAATTAAAGACTGTATTGAAATGGACAGAAAAATTCACGCTCAAATTGTTTGTCGTTTTGAATGTGATATGCGAACCATGGAACGCGAATACTCAACGCGAAAATACTTTCACAAGTTTTAGGGCAATCACTAAGACGGATATTTTTTATTGATGAAATCTTTGACAATTTAAAAAT